TATTCCGGTATCTCTAGAATCATTCAATCGGTAAAATGTGTTTACCTTTCGTTAATAATTATCAAGAACGTTCTGTTAAACTTAAGTTAACTACATTAACTCATGTGAATGATGCAATGGTTACCATTAGCATCTGTTAATTGCAGGTCAACCATGTTAACATATATGAACGATTAAAGAAAGGGGTATGTTACTGATTAACAGCTCAAGTGAACCATGTCATTTCTTAATGAATAAAGAGAATTTGTGTTCATCTTCGAAGAATCAGAATAATTTGGAAAGTTATGTGAATCCATATGAATTTGAAGTTATTTTTGTTGTGTTCATATGAACTCGAAGTTATTCAGAATCTATGACATGAACGCAAAAGTTTAACATCATTATGTGACCCACATAAGAATGTGAATTATTCTTTTTTCTTAAGCGCACGGTAATGACATGATATACCAAGAAATGCTCTATTTTATGATATGTGACTCTATGAATTAATGAATGATTATCCATATATGTAAAAGTATTCATGGCATCCTTAGCACAAGGCCCTTACCGGGGGTAAATATCCGTGGTCTTATGGCCCTTGCCCGGGGGTAATAATACGTGGTTCAAGTATGTTACAAGATATCTCTTGCTATCGACGGTCTCGTACGGATGGTACCACCGACGGTCTTGTACGGGTGGATTATGTTTTACATCGACGGTCTTGTACGGGTGGGTTATGATCAAGCATGAACTCTGATTTCTGTTTCTGATTCAAGCATAAGTAAGAATATGTATGAATATGTTTCTATTTATCCGTTCCGTTTATACTATGTTATAACATGATATGAATTGATCGGTCTTTAAGACCTAATGATTTCTAGTATGAAACAAAGTGTTGTACGGAACTAAGTGCTGCAATGCGAGTCACCTCTAGAATCCGTACGAGCCACCTCTTGAGTCCATACATATGTTCAAGGGCTTAATGCCAACTTTTCAAGGGCTTCATGCCAAATGTACAAGGGCTATATGCCAACATGTTTAAGGGCTTCATTCCATATGTTCAAGGGCTATATGCCAACATGTGTAAAAGCTTAATGTTAATATGTTCAGGGGCTATATGCCAATATGTGTAAATGCTTAATGTTAATATGTTCAAGGGCTATCGCCAATCCATTCAAAGGCTTAAAGCCATTATGTTTCAAGATTGGGCCTAAATCAATTCTAAAATTAGTACAGAACTCTTAATTATATGATCTCCGCATTTACATACGCATTGATATGCATTATGATTAAGTTGAATATTGAATCATTGATATACTACTATTCACTGAGCTTCGCTCACTTTGTGTTTTGTCTGTTCTGTAGGTAATTACTTTGGGAGTCCGTCTTAACCCTTGATGCTTACCCTTCAATTGTCAACCTCAGTATGCCTAGACTCCCAGACCAAGCCCATGCATTTATGTGAAGTTTTGTTAAGATTTTTTCATGCACTTTAATTATTTACTTAAGGTTAAAATGTATGTATATACCCCCTTTCTTTACCAATGTTCGGATATACGCTCATTTATATGTATGGGTATGTATATAGATAAACGGCTCTCACGTATGTCATCCTGGCATGTTAGTTTTAGCTCAATGGATGTTATTCTATGTTACTTTGTAATATTAAATGCTTCCGTTCAGGCCCCGTATATTATGTATATCAGGTCATGTGTCCGTATCTGCATAGGTCATGCCCGAACTTTTAGGGGCGAGTTTGGGGCGTGACAGTTCTCTTGAAAACCAGTTGCACTCTTTTAATCCTTATAGGGTGAAGAATCTTAGGTATTTGGTTTGAAATGTGTATGGCCAAACACAATTTCAATTCAAATATCTAGCTTGGTCACTAGCTCTATAATCTTAACCTTATTAAAAGTTCAAAACCATCATGTCATCCAACTGTACCATCTGCTCAAATTCCATTTGAATTCTTATGCTAATTATGTTATTGTCGTAGCCACGTCATACTCTTTCTTCTCTACTATAATTGTGTGAATCTTGGGATTAGAGCTTGAACGATTAGAAACACCTATGAGTGTAGCTTCATCGCTAAGAGGTCAAACTCGAGTAGATCTCGTATGCAAATCATTTGAACTAGGAGTCTTCAGTTTGCGTTTAACTTGCGACTTACGAGTCATAGAAATGTCAGACTTTGACGTTATCCTAGGAATGGACTGGTTATCAGTGCATAGAGCCACTATTAATTACTATCGAAAGATGATGACTGCTTACTCTCATGACGGAACACGATTTCAATTTAAGGGGGATAGGCGAGATTCCCTATCACTAATACTTGGAAAGTCAAAGTGGTCCAATCACCTAGCTGGGTGGCTAGCCAGCTTAGTTCTGGAAGACAAGGATCGTATGAAACTAGGGCTACCTCGTGTGGTAATGGACTGGTTATCAGCCCATAGAGCCACCATTAATTACTATCGAAAGACGATGAGTGCTTACTCTCATGACAGAACACGATCCCAATTTAAGGGGGATAGACGAGATTCCTTATTGTTTCAAATTAAGTAGTTCGGTCCCTACACATTAAGGGTTGGTTTGGCATGTTCGAAAAAGGTTAAAAAGTAAAAAAGTTACTATCTTATTTAAGTCACATCATCTTATTTAAATCACATCACTTCTCTAACACATCACTTCAAACCCAACCCAAACCCAACTCATATTTCATAAAAAGTCAAAAAGTGCACTTATTTAGATCATCCCAAACAAACCCTTTAGTTTCAATTTAATTTTTCCATTTAAGTTAGAAGTTAAAATTAACAATTTTGAGACACTTGTCAGTCTTCTAAAGTGCACATGTAAAAAAATAACAAAAATTTGAACAAAAATTTGAACAAAAAGACCAATTTGAAACTATACATATTAAAGTGTAGTTATCTACTTTGAAGTTTGACATTATCTATTTCCTAGTTTTGTTTTTGCAATCAATAAGAGAGGAACAGAAGGAAGAAAACTGCATTTACAATAGTAAAATTCAAATTCAGACATCACTTCCTATTTCATCCGCTAATCTACTAGGCTAATCTTTTGATCTTTTATTATTTTCATGGTTGTTTGCTGGGTTGGGTGCCAATTTTAGGGCCAACGGAGAAAGAAATTTAGGCTTTTTATGACCAAGAAATGTGACTGGGCCAAGATTTGGACCCACTCGTAGTTTTGTAAGCTGTAAAAAAACTTAGATTACAATTAGAGGCAGTTTTGTTTGGAAATATGCTATATAATTTTTTTTAAAATTTTTTATGAAGAGATATGCAGAAAAATAAAGAGAGTGATGTGATAATTTATAGTAATTTTTTGACTTTTTAATTAAAATATATAATTGACGAACGAGGCAGCATCCAATGGGGCTACAATGGGGCTAATGTAAAAAGTTATAGAAATAATTATCAGCTGGTGTTATTGATTCGACTTATTTACTCATAAGTTTTAAGCAAATTTTTTAAAATATATTTACTACTCATTTTAATAATGAAATTTTTAAAAAACTTTTTAGATGTATTTTGTGTTTGTGGAATAATCATTTGGTACTCTTAATGATATTGAGAAATTTATCAAATAGACAAATAATTGAGACATATCGACTTTTGTTTGTGAGTTTTGATTATTTTTAGACAAATAATTGAGACAAAAACAATCTCCATCTTTTTTCCTTTTTGTTTTTGTTTTTGTTTTTGTGTGTGTGTGTGTGTTTTTTTTTTTTACTTATGGGTGCGTGGCACATCCAATGCACTTGTTCTACATTTGGATCTTGAAATTTGGAGCAATTTGTGAGTGATTATTCTATAAAAGAAATAAATAAATTCTACTTTGATTTTTTATCATTTTATTTTTATTTACGAATTCAAAATTCAAATATAATTTCGAGCAATATGCAATTTGCGTTTTTTGTCTCCTGTATTTTCTTGTCAACTATTACAAAATTAACTTACAAAATTGTGTAATATTTGGCCAGTCAGTAGTCCCATGGGCTGACCCAAATAACCAACTAGCCATACCCATTATTGCACCTTGGGATAAGGGTGAAATTGGTTCCATTCGAATAACAAAAAATTTAACTTCAAATTGAGATTTAATTTTGCCAATTTTTTTAATTAGTATAAATGAGAGATTCAGAAAAAAAAAAAAAAAAATCACTTTTACTTTTATGAAAATGTGTAGAATCACTTGTCGGGTGTAAATGAAAAGAGATGGTATGGATTGCTTTATAAATGTTTCTCATCCTAAACTTTATTGCAAAAGGTGTAACATTGTTCATTTTTTTTTTTTTTAATATAATACAACATTCAACGAATTAGAATATTAAATATATCTAAATATAATATTTCATTCAGTTCAATTGATATTAGTGTAAAAAATTTTAAACTAAAAGAAACAAGCTCCAATTGTATCTAGCAAAATTGCATAAAAATTTTACAATGAATATAGAAATTGAAAGAGAGATTTCGTACTACGAATACAAGAAACAAGCTTCAATTGTACTAGCAAAAATGCATAACAATTTTACTATGAATATAGAATTTCAAAGAGAGACTTTCGTTTTTCTTCCTCAGAACTTTTAGCTGCACAGACTATTATTAGAGGAAGACAGGCTATTATATCAGTCATATTATATCAAAAACTCAACAAATCTTTTTAAGAGATTTGTTCACATGCTCCAATTGTAACTAGCAAAAATACATAACAATTCTATTATGAACATAGAAATTGATAACAAAATCAGATACAGAATACATACAAATAGATAAAATTTTATATAATTTATTAGTGGGATTCACGTTTAAAAATTCTTATCCATCTATAAACATTATGTGTTTGATTCTGTGACTGATTTATGTGTTGCTAGACTTATTCAAGCCTAATGTAGCGTTTGGGGGCAAAACAAACTAAGACCAACAAATGCTGGCAGGCAAGATCATTGAAAGAAAATGAAAACCAAGAGAGAACAACATGAACTATAAGAAGAAGAAGATTGAACTACCTGAAATTGAGAATTATTCTAAACAATTACAACAAGATTCAAGGCTAACCAACCGATTACATTCAAATCTAACTATATATACACTTGATCATAATTAAAAAAAAAAGAACAGAAGGAAAACAAATTTCTCTTTATAAACTTATTAGACTCGGCAATATGGTACAAAAATCGATTGAACTAATAGAATCCTCTCGAACCTCTGGATTGATACAATTCCAATCTATTTTTAGCATCCATTAGCAGTGTTTCAATCAAAGGGTCTTGCTTCAAGTGTTCCTGCTTCGACGCCCACTCAATCACTATAAGAACATCCGCCTGAGCAAGTGCCTCATTATCCGGCACGTGCAACGCAATGTAGCCTAGTAGGATCAATGACGGTGTCTGAACAATTTGTTCACCAAAATACACAAGTTGAATTAAATGCCTAGCACCTCCTCCATCTATAATTGCTTTCGAGTGATTAACGTGCAGATAATTATCAGTTTCTGCAAATTTAGTTAGCGCAAGCACCGCCTCTAGTGTTAAGTCCGCTTCTCTATCCTCGAGCAGGCGAACTAACGGGGCAATGATTCTTGTCTCCGTGGCCCGAAAAGTCCTAGCCAAGTTCCCAACCGCTCTAATGCATGGCACAAGGAGGTCTGAATTTGCTTCTTCTATAATTCTCACAAACTGGTCCACAACTGCCTTGCAGGCTGGTGAAGTGGGCTTGAAAGCTGAGCGCCTCAATTCTGCGCTTTTCTCAGCTACCGCGGTGATTTCCATTAAAGCCATGGCAGAGTTGTATTGGACTTCATCGGGACCTTTCTCTAACAAAACCGCGAAGCACAAAAGTGCTCGCGATTCTGTAATGCTTTTGCATATAGTAACATTCCCCGCGCATAGCAGCCATAAAGCTCGGGCTGCCATTGCCTTCATTTGGGCTTTGGTAGTCGGATCTTCATATTCCCTCCCCCTAATACTATTCCCGGCTAGCGAAACATGATGTCGTGGATTATGATTATTCACGTTGTCATGATGGTGTTGGTGGTGGTTTGGCTTGGTTTGGTTTTGTTGTTGGTTTGTCTTAGTTTGGCTTTGTTGTTGGTTTCCTTTGGATTGGCTTTTCATGGTGTTTTCAACCACATTATGCATTTGGCTAGAACTAGAACTTTCATGACTCGTTGGTCTAGCAATTTGAACTTTATCATCGTCGTGCTTATTCGTATTGTCGGTGCTGGAATTAGCCATGACAACGGTGTGTATCGACATGGATTGATGTTTGTGAGCGATCGCGTACTTGCTATGTTCTTGAATCGTTTCGAAAGCGAGGTGTCCAACGAGCAATCGAATGGTGTTGTTTTGAGCAAAATGGTCTTGACATTTCGGATGATTCGCAGCCAATTCCGAGACAGCCCAAGCCACCACAACTTGAACTTTCATGTGACTTTCTTTGAGGATTTTCGCAAACACTTGGCAGACACCAGCATTTACGATGTGTTCGACGCTTTCCGGGTCTCGGCCCAGAAGCCCAATAGCTCTCGCAGCGCTCTCTTGACCTTCCAATCGACCCTCCTTCGCGAGTTTCAAAAGCGGTACGACCCCACCTTCCTCAATTATCAACTTTCCGTACCTGTCATTGTCTCGAGCAAGCGAGACAAGGGAAGCCGCTGCATCGGCGCGTTCTTCGATCGCCCCGGTGCAGAGAACGGCTATTTGTTCCCAAATTAAGCAAAGTATCGGCTCGTTAGCCGCGATTGGCGGGAGGCCGCCGAGGTAGTCGTCGTCGCGATCATCGGCTGGGGTGGAGACTCGGAGGAGCCAAGAAATATCGCCAATTGAGTTTTCGAGTTGTTGGGAGATTTTTCGGAAAGCGGCTTGGGGGATGATGGTGAAGACTCGGCGTAAGCCGTTGGCTCGGCATTTGAAAATTAGGCCGAGAGCTTTGTCGAGGACTTGTTCGGTGTCGTCGATGATGCGTCGCGTGGGGCGTTCGTAGAGGTCGTTACTTGCACGCGCCGCCTGACGGAGGAGCCCGGCGAGTTTCTCGGTCTTGGCTTTGACCTCGAGGCATTCGGATCGGTTGGAATTCACATCGTCGGCGGCTTTGGTCACCTGGTCGGCTAATTGAATCGGCTTCGCTAGTATTTGTTTCACTATATCCGCCATCGCCACAGCCGACCCCTAATTTCAAATGGTTTTTGATTTTGGTGTTTCCCAAAAAAGAAAGGAAGTAGAGTTATTTTCAGGACATTTTTTTTTTTTTTTGAAAATGGTTTTCAAAAACAAAAATGAGTTGTTTTGGAACTATTCCTTTCGAAAGGAAATAAAGTTATTTTCAGGACTTTTTTTTTTTTTTTGAAAATGGTTTTCAAAAACAAAAATGAGTTGTTTTGGAACAATTCCTTTCAAAAGACTAATTTGCCAAACGATTTTTGTTAGGAAAACAAAAAACGAAATGCAGAACCAAATACAAGTTTTCTGATTTTTATGTTTATGTAATCAAAATTGAGCCAATTTTGAACGAAAGAGAAAAAATTTCATGGTTTTGGGTGGCAATTAAATTTGGATGAATTTTTTTTCTCTTTTTTGTCAAGCGGTTTGGGGAGTTGGTGTTGTGTTTCTATTGCCATCCAATGAAGATGGTGGTGGCAGTGGCGGCGGCGGCGGCGGCGGAGAGGTGGTGGTGGGTGGCAGCTGGTGGATCTAGGAATGAATGGGTGGGGTTTGGGAAATGGTGAAACGCAATTGTCTCCTATATTCTCATTCAAAACTCCTTATTTATAGGAAATGAATTTGTTGTTGTAATTAGCGGGCAAGAGGCAAAGGGAATGCTCACCTGAGTATACGTACGAACGTCCGGTGTAGTTGCCAATCACATTTAAAAAATAAAATAAAATGGTTTTGCATTTTTTTTTGGGGGGAGGAATATGGTATGAATTAAAATAAAAAATAATAATTACAAAACAATGGAGTTGTTACATATGCCCTATTAATTTACAATTATTTTTTGCAGAATTTAAAAAGAAATTATTTTTTAAGTACTTGTGTCCCAATTAATCCATAATATATTATTATATTTTAATAAATTTTATTATTTGGATATTTGATCTATCAAATTCTAATTCTTATATTTAAGATATTTTATAGACAATTTTACCTTTACAAATATATTTTTTTAACCCTTAGCAATTTGGTGTGCATTATTTTGGATTATTTTATACTTTTTATATATTAAACTTTATATATTCATAATTTTTGTTGTACATAATTTTTTTTTTATGAAATTTATATTTTTGAAATCTAATTAACGAGATTTATTAAATAAGATCTCACTTGAATATGCAATTTTATAAAATAAAAATAAGTAAATAAATTTGATAGTGTGAATGTTCACATCATGAAATATTTATACTGTTAATGTGAACATTAATGTGCGCTTCCCTCTATTATTGTTAAGAGTATTTTGGTAACTATATCATCCATAAGACTTATTGAAATATAAGAAAATAATTTAGACTAAGTGAAATATAAATAAGTGAATAGGGATTTATGAATAAATGGCCCTTGTTTTTTCTATTTTTTTTTTTATCATCTCAGCCTCTGTTTGGCAAGTTGGTTCTTGGGCTTTGTTGGCTATTTTAGCCACAAAAAACAAAATAGGCTATTTTAGCCATAACAAACAAAACATCACATCCAACCCATAATCATTACATTCTTCTCTCACAAAAAAACTCAAAAAAGCCAAAAAGCCAAAAAGCCCTTCCCAAACCAAGCTTTTAAGCCCAGACTAATATAGCCAAAAAAGCCAAAAAGTCAAAAAGCCAACCTACTTCCCAAACGGAGGCTCAATATGTTTCTTGAAAATTTTATAAAATTAACATCACTGTCATATATTTCATTTTTTTATGATTATAAAAATTGAAGTGAGTTACGGTTCTTCCTCAAAGCATTAGATATCATTTATGAAGTAATTATGGTAAATTATATTGATTTTCCTTTATATTTAAAGAAAATATAATAAATTTTATAATTTTAATACAATTATACTCACATTTTTTAAGTAATGTTCACTACAAGAAAAAACACTTTTGGCGACTAAATTTTTGGTCGCCAAAAGTCCTTTTTTAGTCGCCAAATGTCGAATTTTCACTTTCCCCGACTAAATATTTTAGTCGCCGGTTTTGTTACGAATACACAGTCGCGAATGCCTTTGGCGACTAAAAAACTGTTGGTTGGCAATATACAGGTCTTCAGCGACCAAAGAATTTGTCGCCAATAGTCAATTCCATTTTTGGAAATTATATATTTAGCGACTAAACTTCTAGTCGCCAATAGTGAATTTTTTATTTATTTATACATTTACCGACTAAACTTTTAGTCGCCAATAGTGAATTTTTTTATTTATTTATACATTTACCGACTAAACTTTTCGTCACCAATAGCCAATCTTTCGGCGACCACAGACTTTAGTCGCCAAAAGCATTTTTCAGGAAAAAAAAAAATTGCTTCTGCTGTTCCCAAGTTTTGAACCGCCAACCACCCAACATTCTCAATCTTTACCAACACTCTCTCCCCACTACACCACTACAACATCACATGAATATTAATGCAACATATATTATTTATATACTATATTGACCGGTAGATTTCGTGGAACTCTGGATGTTTTGTTATTCAGCTTTGTTCTTCAGCTTCTGTTTTGTGCTTGAAGAAGAAGAAGTTGGGTCTCTTGATATAGAGAGAGAGAGTAGGCACCTCATGGAAAAACCTCGCATAAGGATACGAAACTCCAACATTATTGATCAGAACTCCAACATCCAGACCTTCAATGGTTTCACGAATCGATTAACCTCTTCGTTCAAATCTCCAGAGAAATCAACAACCACAGTCTTGATTTGGATTTTCCCGAATTTGGCTCCGATCGACTGCGAAACCTCCTTGAGTTTCTCGGGATTTCGACCAACGAGAATCAAATTCAGACCTTTATGTTCCTGACTTGGTTATCCTCTCTGGCTATGAGAGTGCATGTGTAATATAAGGGTACGGGGGTGAAGGACCTTAGACTACAAAAGAACATATTGTGGACCTAATCCATTACTAAAAGTTGGATAGGGACCTTAGACCGATTTTCCCATAATTATTTTTATTTAATATATTTTATGTAAAAAATAAATTATTTACTAAAAAAAATAGGATAGCACTTTTGGCGACTAAATCTAAATTTTAGTCGCCAATTCTATATTTTTTGGCTACTAATTTCTTTTTGTCGCTAAAAGAATTAAATCCCGCCTAAGGATAGCACTTTTGGCGACTAAACCGAATTTTAGTCGCCAAAACCTCTACTTTGGGCGACTAAACTGCATTTCAGTCGGCAATTCTTGACTTTTAGCTATTAAATTTTTTTTAGTAGCCAAAAAGCTTCACTTTTGGCTACGAAATTGATTTTTGTTGGTAAAACACGTATAATCGGCGACCAAACAATTTTTTAGTTGCCATAACCTATACTTTTGGCTACTAAATGTTTTTAGTCACCAAAACCCTTCACTTTTGGCTACTAAATGTTTTTAGTCGCTAAAACCCCTATATTCGGCGATTAAACTGACTTTTAGTCGCCAAAACCCCTACATTTGGCTACTAAACTGTTTTAGTCGCCAAAAGTGTTCACTTCACTTTTGGCGACTAATTGAATTTTAGTCACCAATTCTGCTACTTTCAGCGACAAAAAATCCATTTTTAGTCGCGAAATCTGTTTTTTCTTGTAATGGTTAGACGGTCCGAAACAAACGTAAATGATATGAAATATAAAGATAAATAAAATAAAATATATTTTTGGTGTCAAAAGATGTAACAATGTATATATATATATATATATATATATTTATCTATATGACTAACAAATTATTAATATAAAAGAGGCTAAATGTTATGTGAATTAAGATCTGAATGTTGTGTATGGTTGAAGGATTTGTGGAGGGATTTGGAAATGAAAAGGGAAAAGGTGTGTGAAATTAGGTGAAATGTAAGTATATTTTATTCACATTTCACCTAACTTTTTTCTTTTTCTTTCCAAATCTCTCCTCAAATCCCTCAACCAAACATAGCGTAAAACTATATCTAAACCATAGAAAGTACTGTACAATTTTCAAACCCCAAAAGAAATTAGTGTAATTTACTCAAGTAATTAAGTTCGTGTATGAATTTTTCATCTAAGTGATGTGGTCCATATTATATTAGTGAAGTGTATCCTATTTTCATCTAAAGATTTTTCTTTCCGATTCTGTTAGTGATCATCTCTATCTTTCACCAACTAAACGGAAAGTGGTTGATCAAAATTAATATAAAAGGTGGGTAGATATGCAATAACAAAGGTAAATATAAATTTTAATAAAAATATATGATACCATTCTTTTGATTTATACGATTTTAGAATTATTAATGAAAAAAGGCTTTACTATTATGTGAATTAAATTTTGAAGAAGATTGGTGTAGTTTTATCAAAAAATATGAAATTACCAATATTTTCTTTAAACATCAGGAAGGTGAGTATAAGTTACTCTAATTAAATTTTAAAATTAAAAGAGTAAAGTTCTGTGGGTATATATGAAAATGAGGGGGGCGGGGGGGAAATAAGATGAATCTTGCGGAATTTGAATGACTGAGATATGGAGTAAATAGAGATCTCATATGCATATAGAGCTGCAACGAATCAAATCGAGTTGAGTTTTGTTGGGTTCTAACTCGGCTCGTTTGTTTATCAAGTTTTATTTTCCAGCTCGAGCTCTGTTCGATAACTAATCAAATTCAAGCTCGGCTTGTTAATATTAGTTTCGCACGAGTTTCACTCGAAGCTCAACAATGAATTTTTTCTAAATATTATTTGCATTATTTAATAAAAAATTAAATAAAAATATTGTTTTAACATATAAAAAATATATTTATGTTATTATATATATATATATATTTATTTATTTATTTTATAATTTAAATAAAGATAAATGAGTCAAGCTTGACGAATTAAGTTTATTATAACTCGAGTTCAGGTTGTTTATTAAATAAGTCTAAAAATTAGACTTGAACTCGTTTATTTACTTAACGAACTAAGCTGGGCATTTAACAAGTCAAGCCGAATCGAGCTCAAGAATAGCTCAATTCGTTTGCAATCTATACATGCAAGGAGAAAGAGGTTTTTATTTATTTATTTATTTATTTTTCCTATATATGGGCGCGTGTTAAAAGCAACAATACTAAAAATTTAGGAAAATATATCAATGAACTACAATCATTCTTTAAATTTACATCACAAAACTTATTTCA